GTGAATATTTTTCTCGTGAAAACAAAAACATTACTCACCCCACATTTACACAGCGTGCATATCAAACATCACACTTTGTAAATGCAGAGTGCATTAGTCATAATTCTGCTTATCTCACATATGTGACAGTTCATGTTTCAGTATACACACCACTCCATTACTGTAAGTTATATGCAACAACACAATCCATTGAACCCGGAGCCAACCAGCTGCTCGTATTAATCAAACAGACCACTTCCCTTTATCACACCGAGCAAATAGTCATAAATGCTCTTATCATCCGTTCTAATAGTGCCGACGTTACAATCAGATTCATGGTGGCATAAACTATTACATTTCATCTTTATCATATCAAACAATCACTTCTTTTTCACAAGCATCATTTGTTACTGTCAGACGCCTTGCTGAAATTCAAAGCGTCCTATCAGCTCCAGAGATCTCATTCTGTTTATTCATGATTAACATATATTTATGTGGATTTTTATTGTTTTTCCACAACAGGCAAACAGGCATGATGAATGTATGGCTGCGGTTCCATCGGGACATGTGGCTCCCTGCAGAACTGATCTGTGGTCAGGCCAATTCCATACTCCACTGTAAAGTCTGCAGGTCGGTGCTGTGGTTTGCTACAGAGGAGCCCCTTTATCATGTTTTACTGACAAGTTAAGACTCTGTTCTTCAGACTAGTGTGAAGATTTCAGCAAAATATAATAAAACAACTGATGTCAAGGTTTGTAAAGTCAGATGTTTTCAGTTGAAATTATGCTGAAATATTATTTGTTTTAATTAAATTTACAGTAAAATATTAAACAAATGTGATAGAAAACACATATAGACACTTCACACCAATATAATATTCATACAGCCACACATCTCAATAAAGACATTTAAACAACAACAGCTATTTTGGCCTGACATCACCAAACAGTATATATTTGCAATTTTTCTGGTATTTTTGTATCACTGCATAAAATGAGAGGGAATTTTTCTGCTTTGTATACTCCCCCTTTAATTTGGAGCCCTTTGATTAATCAATTAATATTCCTTTCTCAAGGTCTTTTATAAACCTCATCATTAATAAAAGCAGACATTCAATTAGCAGCCAAATCTTGATTGCCAATTTTGTCATAAGTCGCCCCTTTCTGTGCTTTTTTGGGGGGGGGTTCGTTATAGTTGGGAGGCCGGTGCGAGTAGGAAGAATTAACTAATTTCATTAATCTAATTGTCATCGCTTTGAACCATCCCACTAATAAGTACAAATTAATATGATTAATCAATTTGACGACATAAACTCATTCAATTACAGTTTTTCAAAGGCAAGTGGGTGTGTTGGGGTGATAGGGAGGAGCGGCGAGTCAGGGGAGGTGGGCGGCCGAGCAGCTTGCTCCGCGAAAATCCCAGCCCACAAAATTGAAGTCAAGTCAGGCAATCAGTCATTGTGAATTATAAATAAATGGTGGTGAAATGTGGGCGGCAGATATTCCACCAACTACAGTCTTATCTGATTCAAGGGAATTTGCTCCTTTTATATGGAGAAAAATAACATAAGATGATAAACTATGGAAACTGTTGGCTGGTTTAGACCAAACTGTCACCGTCTTCTTTTACCCACAGGTCTGATGACAGTGTCAGACGATGCAGGAATGTCTGAGTCTCTTATTGTTAGATGAACAGATAACAACTGAGAAACAACTCTCAGTTTTGCTGTATTCTAATTCAAGTTTTTGATTGATTTTTTCCCTTATTCACTAAATCACACCTGGAGTTTGGCAGGGACATCTCACTGAGAAGCACAGACTCTTAAGTGTAAACTGTATTGTTATGTTGCATTTCAAAATCTGCAGGTTTGCATTTTCTTTCTCTTTATGAGTGGGGATTGCTGCTACAAAAACATTCAGCCTTGTGTGTAGTGTATTATACTGTATTTTTATATGGACTCCCTAAGAAGAAGTCATTTTGCTCATCACAATGTACAAATGCAGCTGTGCTGGACACATTTTTATATATTCTTCAAGTGTATTTTCTAATAACTGGCTTCTTATCACAGCATTTCAATTTATCAATGATTCAGTTCAATTCAAATGTCCCAGTGAGTTGTGATGGCACCAGTATGAACAAAGCCAGGACTCAGGGTTATAGGGTTAAATATATTTTTATGTCCTAAATATTATTTACAACATACAGACACTTAAGCATCTTACACAGTCACATACAAAAATACATTAAGTACACATGTGAGGATGACATATCTGGCTTAACCAACATTTACAAGGTTGTTGATTTAGATGATTCTCCCTCTGTGTTCCTCATTATTTTACATTAAGCTCAGATAGTATGAGCTGCTCTGCATTGGAGCCTGTGTACCTGGAGCTGCTGGTGGTTTGATTTGTATATTTCACATCCACTTTGCTGTGGGGGAGATGTGCTGGCACAGCACTTTAGGTGATGCCCTTTAATGCGCTCTATCTTATCAAGCCAGCATCACCTCTATTCAAACCTGTGTGTGATTGAGCCGGGGCGGTGTTGTTTGGGTCTTACATTGGGAAGAGTTTATAGAAGCAGCGTCACTAATTTGTGAAGTGAGGTATTATAGAGGAGACAATTAGACGGAGGTTCGATTAAAGTCGAGAGGCTCGGGTGCTGACAGTCAAGAGAAGGCTTTCAAATGTCACACCAATTAATCTATCCAGCCATCAAACAATATTCTGGAAACAAAGTCAGGGGGGGCGATCAATCCGCATCACTTTTCTCCTCACCGGGTTATGGGAAAATTGATTTGTCAAACAAAGCATTTTGGAAGCAGCGCATGGACTTGTTCGGGATCCATTAGCCTCCATTGAGCATTTTGTTTAACATAGGATTTTCATCACAGGGAAAATGCAGTGTCCTCAATACTTTACGATTTCTGATTTCTTTGTTCTTGCTTAGGAAGCTTTTGAAAGTGCTGATGGGGATTGAAATGGGGCTAACTTTCACTGTTGTTTTCTCTTATATATATTCAACAGAAAATGCAATACTCTACTCTATTATTAACACAACTCACAACTGAACCTTATGACAATCAGCCTCCTCGCCTCCAAACAGCACCAGGCATTAGTCCACAGTATCAGTATTACTGTACACTGTGGGGCTATCCTGCCATCTTATACAGCATGGCTGCCCTAAGCTGCACCATGAATTCCCTGCACAGTGTATTGTTCTAAGGCAGAACTGTATCACATTGTGCCCGTCATGCTGTTTTAGAGGGGAGAGCGCTTCCTCTATGGGATTTCACCACCCCCATCTCCTGATAATGTATCTCTCCCTAAAGGCTAGGCCTCCGTGACCTTGTCTTATTCATCGAGGGCGTCTTAAGCGAAAGAACTGAATCCTGAATGGGCCATTTCCCCTCTTTTAACACCCCTTTAATGTCATCAGTGAAATATGAAGTCATTAGGCGATATTAAAACACTGCTGACAAACTAATTAACGGGAGGCATTAAACAGGACGGGCTTGATTAATCCACTTTAACGATTCTTTTTAAGTGGTTCTGGTCAAAATTAATACAGATTTACTGGTGATCTTAAGACAAAAATACTCTTATGTGTATCAGGCCTCAAGGGCAACCAAAAGTCACTGGTCTTTTACCTCCCACCGCTGTTGCTCCCACCCTAACCCGCCACCCCCGCCCTCTGTGTCTAAACACAAGCTGAACTCACACAGTTGCTCTCTGACAACAAACTAGTTGCAGAATGTATGGACACACAAAGTGTATACAAGAATATCAGACTTGTTTGATGTATGGTTTCATATTGAATTTACTGTCATCATGTTGTTGCACATATTATTGTTGTTTATTCAAATATTGTCATATTACTCCACAAATTGAAATGTCAGGGAAATGTGATCAGGGCTCAGATTTAGTTGGAATTGAACTTTATTTACTTTTTGTTATGGTTGTTGTTATTGTTGCTGCTAATGTTGGTGTTTTTACAGCCAATGGATCCTTGTTGAGAACGAATGTCTTTGTAAATGTCTCCCTCTTGTGGTAAAGTCACAGATCTAGGGTCAGCTGCTGGGCATCATGTTTGAACCAGTTTGAACAAATTTTGGCAGATCGCTTTCATTTTATTTCACTTCAGATGAAGCCCTGTTTGGGTGTTGTGTTTTATATTCTGCCCCTGAATTTGATGAGTTTGACAAGAATACGTGTTCTATGTTATATATGAATCCAGCCTCATGCCTCATAACGCTTTGTGCCATCAGACGTCACAGCACCCAGAGTCTCATAAGGTCAAACTGCACAATCACATAGTTTTGATATTGCTCATACAGAAGAAGAAGAGGCAGAAGAACAACAACAAAGAAAATCATATATATTGGTAACATCCTGAGACTATGGGGGGGGCTTATTTTCAAAATATCGGCTTTGTACAGACTTCCTGATAGCATTCTATTACTATGGGGGGAAGGGGGGATTATTTTTATTTTTATTTAAATTGTCAAAAAGTGAAGCAAAAGCACCTGTTCTTGAACCCAGACTCACGTCACATGGTGCAAGTGCCTTAACCACCTCATACATACATATACATATACATACATTTGGGATTAACATTAGAGTCCATGGGGAAGCTAGAGTGCTGTGCTCTAGCGCCAGTCTTCAAACAAATGCTTGTAAGTCAAAAACTATAAGTCCTGTGAAATGAAAACACCGTGAGAATCCCAAGACTTCCCCGAACGTACAGATCTATTTTTTATTGGTGAGAGTTCAGAAATGAGACCGTGGGAGCGAGTTAGAATTAGTTTCTGTGTTTCTCCTTTTCTGACTTTCTTTCCAAACATTAACATGGGAGTCAATGGAGAAATGAAAACGGAAAACTTTTCTCGATAAATTGACCCAGCCTAAACTACAGCAGCTCCGCCCCCAGCTGGCAAGGCACCCATAATAATAAGCCCGAGCAATAATAATATAAGAGCCAGTGCCCATAATGAATAAATAAATAGGAAGTGGTCAGCTGACGGCATGTGACGTGTTTCCGTCATCAGCTCCACCGTTGTTGGACCCGCGGTGTGTCGGTCTAATGTCGGTGTTGCACATTTTCTTTAGGTTAAAGTTATTTATTGAAACAGAAACTGTTTATCCGGCTGATGTTTACCATGTCTCTCTAACGCGGCCTGTTTCCTCCCAGACATGGAAACGTAGCAGTCGGTTTCACGGACGGTGGGTCAGCATTAGCTGTTAGCTTAGCCTCTCAGGCCGGGCTGTATGTGAGCACACAGGCCGTGCTCACCGCCTCGCTCCCTAACAATGTACCCCTCCTGGGGGAATTACGCTGGATCTCATTCGCAAAACTATGGAGGTCCCGGGCCTCGTAAACCACCGGGTGCCGCCCCTGCCGCGGGATTTGGCGGCTTCGAAGCCCCTCCCGGCGGCGGTGGTGGTGCCGGTGGTGGAGGCGGCGGCGGCTCGCTGTTCTCCAGCCTCCAGGAGCAGCACCTCCAGCAGATGCAGCAGCTGCAGATGCTGCACCAGAAGCAGCTCCAGTCGGTGTTGCATCACGGTAACAGCGCCGGGGCGTACGGTGGTGGGTACTCAGGCTCACAGTGGGACTCCGAGGCTCCGGGACATATAGACGGCAGCACTGGAGCTCAGACCTACCTGAAACAAGACGACACCTCGGCTCCTTCGGCGAGAGCACCTTCTGCTCCCAAGTCGGGTCACCCGCAGCCGCCTCCGCCTCCACCACAGCCGCACGCCGCCGAGTCCCAACCGTGTCCTCCCCCTCCGGAGCCTCCGTCAGCAAAGCCCCCGGAGAATAACGATGGCTCCAAAGAGGCCAGCAAGAAGGATGCGTCCACGACAGAAGACGACAAATCTTTAGCATTACAGGTAATGACTTCATCAGTTTATTAGTGATAACACCACTGTTTACTGTGATCGATGCCTCTTTGCTCTGCCTGCAGGCTGAACTTGCAAACTTTTGTTATTAATTATTTATTACAAATGTCATCAAGTAAGTGTTGCAGTAGCATTTAGCCACAGTCTTTGCAATGCTTGTCCCTGTCCTGCTTTGGTGACAGGGTATGTCATTATTCCTGTGCTTAAAATCCAATATGTAATACTGTATGTCAAATATGTAAAAGTGGAGAAACAAGCACTGCAGATCCTATAAATGCAGATGCACCATTATATTTTGTAAACTCTTTTTATTCAGAGTTAACGTAACAGTTTTATTCTGTAAGATTGATGTGGCGGATAATACAAGGGGGAAATATTACCCACTTCCACCCTCCAAGTTTGTCAAGTTTAGAGATGAGAATAAGTATCTTTTCCAACCAAATGTCAAATGTTGTGTTTACTTCTTAATAAACTTCAGGAAGTTACAGAACTAAGTATATTAAGAATGGTAGTAATGAAAAGGACAAGGTTCTTGTGTGCTTCGTCTGACACGTCTTTCTAATTGTTTCATCCAGGAACAACAGCAACGTTGGTACAAACAGCATCTTCAGAATCTACAGAAGTTAAAGCAAGAGAAAGCCAAACAGAATCAAAAAGAAGGTGATGGCCATGTGCCGCCACTCCCAGGTCAGGGAGTTCCTCCTCCACCTCCATCAGAACCTCCAAAAAATGCACCTCCTCCACCCCCACCAAGAGATGATCCCCCAGCACCTCCTCCACCACCTGATGAAATAAGGGTAAGCAATCCTAACGTTAGTTAGGGGATTATATGAGAATGTCTGACTTGACTTGGACATAGTGAACCTCATTTTAAAAATCAAAGAGTTTTTACAGGTCTTGGCTGTTTTTGAAAGTTTTCTGGAAGCTGGTGAAAGGAGAACTCAGGCAGAAGCTGATGTCCTATGCAGATCATTTGAATGTAGACTAGATGCATCAATGAGACCAGAAGGTGGAACAATATACAAACGTTAAATGAGTAATTGTCAACTCCCAAGTCTGAAGTCCCACAGCATTTCCAAATATCTCCCTCTCCTTGCATCACCCATTCTAACAGCACATCAATGGAAGACTAGAATTGCTTCCACTCTCTGTTAAGTCTAGATGATCTCATCGTATTTGATAGTTAAGTCTAACTATGCATTCCTAAATCACATTGTGTCCTTACGTCTTGCCACTGATGAAATACACAAAATAGTTAGTGCCTCTCTGCCTGGCACATCTGCGTTAGATATGAAAGTCCATGAGAGTAGACAATACAATGTACTGTTGGTTCGGCCTTTATGTATAACCTGACCTTGGGCACTGCTAAGAAAGAGAAGGGAATTTGTGTGGAACTAGACAGGCACTATTCTCTTAATGGTGTACAGATATAATGTGTAATATACATAATATATGTTTGGCATATAAAGTAATGTGTGAGTCAAAAATTCCTCAACATTGGTGAAAAAAGGTTAAGGCCCACTGTGGCTCCAGAGAGAGTGGTGATAAGTTGTATTACAACATATAGCAGTGCTATAACTTATACTAATTACCAAAAGCCTATAACCTGTTCCTGTGCTGAACTTTTAAGGTAGTTTAGATTTAGATTAACTTTTTTGTGTATTGCAACAAATTACCCCAACTCAAAAATGTTGTTGCTGTTAGTTGCTTTTATAACTCTTTTTTTGGCATTTGAACTAAATACCAAACTCAACAGCCTTTAAGAACATACAAAGAATACCAGACATATTCAATGGTCACTAGATCTGAACATTGTTTATACTGCTTGCATGAATTTCCAGAGTGAATATGTAGGAAAACCACCAACATTTACATGTTCATAGATGTGTACCCCAATTCTTGTGATAACTGCCGTGTCATGAATTTGTGACATTTTTATGACTCTGGCACATCCATTCTTTATTCCACTTCAAATAGTGAATCATTATAATCACTTTTAATTAATTTTATTGTCTCATGTACCCAGTGTAAGTTAGAAAAATGACAACAAATTGAGCAGTAGTCAAAGAATTGAGGTTTAATACCGACACTTGAGTGATAATGTAATATGTTCTCACTGTTGCCTACCTCCATCTTAAAAATGTGTTCTCCCTTCCATCTCAATCAAATTTGAGAGCCACGCTTTGTTTCATTCTCACCTTGTTTCTTTTTCAAAGCCTGACGCCCACCATGACCCAGTGGAGGCTGCCCGCCTCCAGCAGTTGCAGGCTGCAGCAGCACAGTGGCAGCAGGTGCAACAGCAGAGAGCAGGCTTACAATACCAGGCTCTCATGCAACAGCATGAGAAGCTGCAGCAGATCCTGGAGAAATACCAACAGCTGATTCAGCAACCAGCAGACCTTCAGGTATACCAATTTGACAGCTATCTTGCTGGTTGTTCTCCCTGGTATGGAGATGACCTTTATGGAAAATGAAAAGGTCAAAAGTCAGCATAGTATGTGTAGTCAAACCAAAAAATAGTATCTAGGAGGTGCAAAAGATTTCAGTTACCTACATGAGATCAATTAAATGTATTATTTCCCTTATTTCCTTTATTACAGTCAATGTCTCCTGAAATGCAGCTGAGGCACTATGAAATGCAACAACAGCAGTTCACCCCTTTATTTCAAGACTGGGATCGCTCATTTGTCTTGTGGTATGAGCAGTTCAAGACTTATCCCCACAAAGACCAACTGCAGGACTATGAGCACCAATGGAAGCAATGGCAGGAGCAGATGAATGCCACCAATGCCCACCTTCAAGAAAGGATGGCCACTCTGACTGCCATGGTGCCATTTGCCTCAGGCCAGTATAACAGTGGAATGATGGGACAATATGGCCAGTACCCTGGACAAGACATGCAAATGCAGCAGCAGTCACTAAACGTGGGTATACAGCATTCTACAAGTGCTGTTGGTCCCAGATCTCAAGGTCCACTGCCTACAGGGTTTGGGCCACACCAGGAATCACCTGCTGGACCTCCTGTGAGAGGAATTGGTCCTTCAGGCATCGGAGCACAATCCTCAGGTCCCCCCACAATTCCGCCACCAAGCTTCAACAGTGCACAAGGTCCACGGTTAGTAGGAATTGATTTACAACAATGTGATTGTTATTTGTTTAATTAAAAGTTATACTAGTTGAGGTATGGCTGACAAATAGACTGCACTAACTGGCACTCAATATCAGTTGAGATGAACGCAATCCATATACCATATTTCCCCTTCAACCCAGCTCCTATAATCAATATATTTTTTACAATTGGGTTTCAATTGCATATAAATCTGGCTACCCTATTGATAGATTATATTTAACTGGGGATGGCCTTTTTATAAGCTTCCGGTTGGAGCACAGCTGATGACTGTTGACAAGTACAGGCAGTTGCCATTGCAGCATTTATTTCTGTTACTCCCATTACCTTATTTGGTTCTTCAGCCAGCACACAAGTCCTTAAATTTGTTATGTTTCCTGAGTAAGGTAGCACTTTCTACAAAGTCGGCAATGTTGTTTTATGTTCTTAATCTTTTCTGAAATTATTTGTTAAAACAACTTCAGATTTGACCAACCACAGCAGCGCTTTGATGGTCCCCCAAGATTCGACCAACCACGGCAGCGTTTTGATGGTCCCCCAAGGTTCGACCCCCCACAGCAACGCTTTGATGGTCCCCCAAGGTTTGAGCAACCACGGCAGCGCTTTGATGGTCCACCAAGGTTTGACCAGCCACAGCAGCGTTTTGATGGTCCCCCAAGGTTTGACCAGCCACAACAGCGTTTTGATGGTCCGTCACGGTTTGACCAACCACGGCAGCGATTTGATGGTACTCCCAGATTTGACCAACCACGGCAGGGCTTTAATGGGCCTCCCAGATTTGACCAACCACGGCAGCGCTTTGATGGCCCCCCTAGATTTGATCAACCTCGATTTGGGCAACAGCCAAGGTTTGAACAACCCCCTAGGCATCCTGGCCCTCCGCTTGGTTTTGAGCGTCCTCCTCTGCTCCAGCAAAAACAACAGCAAGGTCTCCAACCTAAAGCAGAAATGGCCACTAAAACACCTGTTGGTGTGGACTCCAAGACAACTGAAAAATCTGATGTACAGCCACAATCTGAAAAAGAAAACAGTGACTCAAGGCCAGATGACAAGGCCAAAGCCGAAGACTTGACAGATGATAACATGCTTGAAAATGAAGGGTTTTTTGTCCAGAATGACCCCATTCCTCAGACATTACAGACAAACAAAAATGTAGAGGAGTCAGATTCCAATAATGCATCTGGTAATGTTGTAAATCCTGCAAACCCTGCACCTCTCAAAAAAAAGCCTTCAGTAACTGTTTCTTCTTCTTCTACTGTGGCATCAAAAACTACTGTTCCTGAAAAACCCAGCAAATCAGAGGAAAAGTGTGTAAACAACAAACCCCCAATGGTTCCAAAGCCCCCAGGAATCAAACAGGAACCACAAGCTTCTGGTGAAAAGCAGTCAAGACCAGAGCCTTCGAGGCCTCTCCCTGGGAGGGGACGGGGTCAGCCCCCAGTGCCTGTACAAGTGCCTGGACGTGGCCGTGGGCAGAGGGGCCGTGGAGAGTTTAGAGGAGCAAACGCTGTCCCGCTAGGAGAGGAGATGGCAGAAATGTCCTACAACTACATGCCACCCGAAGAGGATTTAGGGATAGCAGAAGATCAGGAAGAAAGTCACTGGGAAGATCCCTCATACGAGGACTTTGCTTGTGAGGAATCTGAGGTGCCTACTGAAGATATGTGGATGCCAGAGGAAGATCAATTTCAAACAGAGGAAGAGTATTATCAAGAGCCAATAGGAGGACCACCTATGGGGAGAGGCAGGCCTCCTATGATGAGAGGAAGGCCCCCTATGATGAGAGGAGGGCCACCAATGATGAGGGGAGGGCCCCCAATGATGAGAGGTGGACCACCTATGGTTAGAGGAGGGCCGCCAATGATGAGAGGAGGCCCACCTATGGGAAGAGGTGGCCCTCATATGGGTAGAGGTGGGCCGCCTATGGGTAGAGGTGGGCCACCTATGGGTAGAGGAGGTCCACCTATGGGTAGAGGGGGTCCACCAATGGGTAGAGGGGGTCCCCCAATGGGAAGAGGAGGGCCACCTATGGGAAGAGGAGGACCACCTATGGGAAGAGGAGGACCACCTATGGGAAGAGGAGATCCAATGGATATGCACTGGGAAGAACCTGAATCAGCTGAGTACTCGGAGGAAGTGGACCCTTATTGGGGAGAAATGAGACCATTAATGAGAGGAATGAGACCCCCGTTTCCACCTGGCCGTGGTCGCCCTCCACGTGGTCATCCTGGTTTCTTGCACCAAGGAAGGGGACGTCCCCCTCATCCAGCACATGGACCAATGGATCATGACCTGTTAGGCCACGAAATGGACACTAATGATCCTGAAACCGATGCAGCAGGACACCCCATGTACCATGGACATGACCCTCACAACCATCCAATGCATCCCGATGTAGGAAGAGGCAGACGTCGTGTGCCACCACCACACCATGAAATGATGGATACTATGGAGGAGCATATGTATGATGAAGGAATGGATGGATGGCAACCACCACATGGCAGAGGACCTCCTCTGCCTCCACATGAGTTAATAGGTAGGGGAGGAGCAAGGAGCAGACCTATGGGTCGAGGATTGGGAAGAGGAATGTGGCGGCCAGGTCCAACACATGAAGAATATCAAGAGGGATATAATGAGGTTTTCGTTGAGGATTATGGCCATGGGGAAGACAGGTACAGCTGGCGGCCACCACAGGACTGTCCTACTGATGAACATGAGCATGAGGCCAAGTTCTATAAGTCTGAATGGGACAGAGATCGTGCTCCACCTGAAAGGGACTATCCCCCCCGCAGGCCTCCACCAGACACCTTCAGGGATGGTCATTGGCCAGAGGAAAGAGAAAGAGAAAAAGGACCCCCATATCCATTTGATGAGCATGAAAGGGGAAGAGGAGAACTTAGAATTCGTGAATATAGGGAAGAGCCACCATACCGCCAGGAGGAGCCACCGTTCCCACCACCACCTTCGACTGAATGGGATAGACCTTCAAGACTCCCTCCACCACCAGAGAGAGGGTATCCACCTGACTATGAAGATCGCAGACCTCGCTATGATGAGCAAAGGGGAGAGCTTTCTTTGAATAAACTTCCACCACCAGCTCCAACTGCACCTGTCACAAACCTACCAGAGAGCTCAGTTGAACCAGCATCAGGAGCAGCCGGCGCTAATGTACTTGCTCTCTCCCAACGCCAGCATGAGATCATCTTGAAAGCTGCTCAAGAGCTTAAACTGATAAGGTAATTTTTAGACTTTCATTATCGATTCCTATCCTAGGCTCACACAGTTACCTTTTGACTTAACCCTTGCAGCATCTTGTCATGCTAATGGAAGTGTTATTAGCAAGGTTTAGAAATATTCAGCTCTGAGATTTCTACCTCCACCCAAAAACCTGATTGACCCACCGTAGTGATCCAAGCCGGTAGGCTCTTAAGTCTTTTGTTTTTTTACTGTTGTGCCATTGTATTACATAGAGAACTGCAAGAGGGGAAGAACCCTGGTCCTGAGCCCCAGCCTGCACCAACTGACATCTTGCCTGATCTCCCTGCTGGTCTCCTCGGTTTGGAGATCCCACCAGAAGTCAGGAATGTTTTGAAGGTAAATGAAGATTACACGCTACTATCTTAGACACATGCTAGAGAGTGGATTGCTGTAAAACTTGCACAGACATTGGTTATGCATGTAAAGAGCACCATGGCCTCTAGAGGACACTAGGCAGACCTTAACATTCCATACGTCTTTACTCAATCTATTTTAAATATATTTCTATGTTACCATCTTATAATTCAATGTAAGATTTATATAAAATCAACATTCTCATCCTCAGGGCATGAGTGCAGCTGCACAGACAGTCACAACTGAGCCTGTGTCTTGGGATACAAAGCCGACTGCTAGAGATTACCAGTCGGTCCTCCCTGCTGCTCCCACAGCTTCAGTGATTCCAAAGACTGTGGATTATGGGCATGGACATGGTATGAGCAGCAAAGATGAACATGTTTCTGTATTTTAACTGAATAAACAGGCCCATTTCCAGACACTGTTGCTGATATTAACTCTCCTTTCAGAGCCTGGTGCCACTGTTGAGCGGATGTCTTATGGTGAAAGGATTGTGCTGAGGCCTGACCCAGTGCAGTCAGACAGGGGTTATGAAAAAGGTTAGTTTAAATACTGTAAAGCTTTTTATAACTCTAATAGAGCTTCCATCTGTAGTTTTCTTTTCATTGATTAACTATTTCATTCTCCTCCTAGAACCTCTTGGTCTCAGAGATCCTTATGGCAGAGACCCTTATTATGAAAGACGATCAGACCCTTACATGGACCGTAGGGAGTACAGTAGAGAGAGGGACTTGTACCGAGAAAAGCCTCCGCCTGAATATGAAAGAGATAGATTTGAGAGGGAGCGCTATCCCCCAAGAGAAAGAGAAGACAGGTAAAATGTCTCTTCCATTTTCCCTTAAACTATGGGGAAGTTTGTTCCATACATATGTAATGTGCGTTTCTGTGTGTTTATTTTTGATTCAAGCACACACTCCATGGTTGATGAAAGGTACTATATTACATTGTGTACCACATTGTAATCAGTGATTACTGTGTGCAAAATTCCGTTGAGGAAATGACGCTTGGCACTCCTCTGTGCAGATCTCCACTGGCACCACTTCTACGCTCAGGATTCAGGGAGCGAGAGTGGGATCCTCGTAATCGTGACCGAAGTGGCAGTCGTGATCGAGAGGAACATTACGGAAGGCCTGGCTACGACAGACCTCCCTATGAGCGTGCCTCACTTGACCGCAGTGGGCCTGAGCGTTACAGTCATAGCTCATCACCTTACGGTACGTCCCATCCTGCATCTGTTATCAGATGTGTATTCACATACCACTGCTGTGTTTGGTAGGATTTCATTGCACAAGATGCATGATGAATGATATGTGTAGAAGCACATTTTAAATTGATAAAAGAAAATACAATTTGGTGGGATACCTGAAGTGCAAACAATATTACAGTGGAAAGAAGAAGTTATCCAGAGGACAGAGGGCCTTCCATTGCACCACCTCTACCACCACCACCTCAGCCACCCCCACGAATCGAGAAGAAGCCAGAAATCAAGAATATTGATGATATCCTCAAACCACCTGGCAGATCATCTCGACCTGAAAGGGTAAATAGCAGTATTTTTGATGTAACTATATCATTTATTATTAGTTTACACAGTATTCAGTTGTTATTCAAAATATTTATTCTAACAGATAGTCATCATAATGAGAGGGCTTCCAGGAAGCGGAAAAAGCCATGTTGCAAAGCTCATACGGGTGAGTGGACCGTTACCAGCAAATCAGCAATGTAATTATAATGTAACTGAACTTTAAACATAAAATACAAAAAGAACAAGAAAACCATTCATAGACTAAACCTAGCTCTTTAATCATGTTGACAATATTAAGGATAAGGAGGTCGACTGTGGTGGTGCCCCCCCGAGAGTTCTTGTATTGGACGACTATTTCATGACGGAGGTTGAGAAAGTTGAGAAAGACCCAGACACCGGGAGGAGGGTCAAAACCAAGGTGAGTCTGGCATACAACAATTACAAAGTGTTTCTGAAGTTTACAATTTGATGGAAAATTAAATAGAAATAAAATATATTGCTGTTGTGAATATGAGGACAGATGTAACACAATAATCTGTGTTGCAGGTTCTTGAATATGAGTATGAGCCAGAGATGGAGGACACGTACAGGAGCAGCATGCTGAAGACATTTAAGAAAACTCTGGATGACGGCTTTTTCCCCTTCATCATTTTAGACACTGTTAATGACCGAGTCAAACATTTTGATCAGTTCTGGAGTGCAGCCAAAACTAAAGGCTTTGAGGTGAGTTGTGTTCATAATTGAGAAAATATTGTTCCAGTCTGCTCTGTGCTAAACAAGTATTTTTTTTTAAATTTTATTTAAAGGTATATCTGTCTGAAATCACTGCAGACAATCAAACTTGCGCAAAAAGAAATGTCCATGGACGTTCACTTAAGGAAATAACGAAGGTCTGTAAGATCAGTTCGTGCCCTTGTTTTATGAATGTCCATTTTATATATATATATATATATATGTGTATATAAAGAACACTTATTAACGAAGCATTTTGTACACAGATGTCCAACAACTGGGAGTCGTCACCACGTCACATGGTTCGCTTAGATGTCCGGTCCTTGCTTCAGGATGCTGCTATAGAGGAGGTGGGGTTGTCAATACATGGGTGTTTTAAATAGTATTGTTGTTCTTTGTTATAACTTGAGCTAAACTGACATGTGCCTTTTGTTATTAGGTTGAAATGGAAGACTTCAATCCCGATGACGAGCCCAAGGAACCAAAGAGAGAGGAGGAGGAAGAGGGAGATCTGGTAGGACATGAATATTTTAAGTCCATAGTCACGTTGTCAGAATCATCTCCACTTGTATGTATTTCCATCTATCACATTATAGTTATTTATTTTCCATTAGTCTTTTACTCATTGTTTGTATTGACCAGGTGTGTTTAACACCAATGAAAGAAAAAATCATAGGTTAAATGTTTATAATTGATTTATTATATGATTATGTATTAATTTACAGGTTTAGAGAGCAGAAAGCTAGAGGAAAGCAAGACAATACAGTTAATCAGTCCATTAATCAAAGGAGCAGTAGCACAGTTGCAGTTAAGCTTTTTTATTTTTTGAGGTATTGCTCAGATTTCAGTTGACATTTTTGATGGTTTTCAATTTAATAATAAGTTTTCTGTCTCCATATCAACAGTTTTAAACTTAATATTGTTGCTTTAATGCTACTGCCAAATTTCAGTCAGCTTCATTGTGGATAATGTTTATATTAGTATGGTAATAGTATGTTTTATCAAAAGACTAAAACAAAAAAATATAAATATCAAAAATCAAAACTGTCAAATAATAGTTCCATTTATATTTTTAAAAAATGTTTGTGCTGATCATTCTGTTTAATCAACTGCTGATTATTTTTTAATATGAAATCAAACCGAAATATTTGATTTCAAAAGCAATGAATGAATGACATTAATTTTTTTACTAAATTAATTTCACAAAGACTACAATATTTCCTTGAATACAAAGACTGTGTATTGTTAAGTATCAACAGACACTGGAGTGTTACCGGGCTAATATGGCCAGACTGACTTAACACGCTTTTAAGATGTTGTACAACTACTCCAGTAAAAATTTAACAAATGACTAGAAAAGTTAAAGAATTTACTAAACTGTCCCTTTGTTGATAAAATCAACGATTTCATGTCAATTCTCATTACATCCTATGGCTTAGTAAATTATTTTGAAAGTTTCAAAACTTAATGTACCCTATGGTGCCACCTTTGAGGTGACTGTCCCCATGAGGCACATACAAAGCCTGTGACCAAACTTTAGTGAACTGCTGGACAAGTGTATTCAATTACATGTCATTTTAATAAGTGGACAGAAAGAAGAAAGGAAGGAAAAACACTGAAGCGAGAGGCTACTGGCCTTGTGTTCAGTTGCCTAATAATCAAACGCATAAAGAAATCAGCTTTTCCTTAAACTACTGACTTTTTACTAGAGGAATTGTGAATTTTTGTTTGTCGTGTCTCAACAAATGTGTGAAACCGATAAACAAGGCCCTTACATTTCATATTTTTGGCTTTTCTGTGCTGAGGTTATCGACGAGACTCAGCATAGAATATAGTCATAGTTTTTAATGTTTTCCACTGTAAGTGCTAATTCAATGCATAAAGTGGAAATGGATTTCTCTCATGAACTTGCTGCTGCGTTATGCTACAATTACAGGTGGTTGCGATTCATGTAAAACCAGTCAAACATGAACTGCTAAAAAGTTTCCCATCTAACGTGTCACTGATAGCTTTTTATCCATTATTATTCATTTGTGGTTCAAAATAAAAACCAAATATATCCGAGAGTACATACTACTAGTAAAATACTGTTAGCTTTCAGTCAGTTGCACACAAAACATGCAGATTCAGCCCATTAAAGTTGCAGCAGTGCCTCTTGACGCCAACATCTGTTAATGTGTATTCTATGGAAAAGAAAACGCCATATTAACATGAAACATTTCATTGTAATCCCTTATTACTTCAAAACCACATACTTGCACTCTGCACTGACCGTGAGTTTTTATGTTTTTGTGTTCATTAGATACTGTAATTAAAAACAGTCCCTCTTTCATTATAACAACAGTCACAAACATGACTGAGTCTGTAAACAAAATAAATCAATTTTAAGAGATAATTTTATTAAACTATATGTAGTACTGAAAAATGGTTAATGTTAATCGCAGTAGCTTCTCTTCCTAGTCAATAATTGAGAATGGTATTTCATTCATCTCATTAACATTGTTTTCTATGACCTATAAATGGAAAAAAAGAATTTCATTATTGTTGCAATCATCCGGTTCAGACCTGCAGCTCCACACAGTGAAGACATGTCGTCTCCCAAACCCTTTTTTATTTTGACTTTTCCAGTGATCAAAGTCTGATGTCACACCCTCCGTAAACTGAAACCAAACTCTGTCTGAAGCACAGGTCTAAAACTGCTGCAGCACATGAATGACACTTAGTGTTTCTAATATCCATATTCAAAAGCACCATGAGGGTTTCTAGCACCACCAGGGGTTGAATCCTAAATAAGAACACAGCAATCCTCGAAGAAGAGTCGGGAGAAAATCGACCAATGATCTGTAAACTTGTTAGTTTGTTGTTTGCTCATCGCTGCTGCGACACCTTAGAGTCAAAATTTGTTTAATTCCAAATGTATTTAAATGTTGCTATTGATCAGATGATGCTTTTATTGCAACTGAGTTAATTCATATTCTGATACATAATTATAAAGAGGAATACATGCCACAGAGGTATTGGACAATTTTTGATTGTATAAAAGTTTCACTTCTTTCATTGTAATCTTAGATTGTTGCTCTGTACATTAAAAGAAAGGAACAAAAATCCGACATCATTTTATATTCAAGCTTGAATCAAGAAGTGATGTCTTAGCACCTACATGTAAACTAAATACTACAAAACATACTGAATGTAAAGTGTCTACAAATCATCAAAAGTTTTCATCCACAGCCTTTACACACCAGGTTGTTTGCAATGACAGAATATTTTACGTTGATGGTTCAGTTTGAGCAAATCAAATTAAGAGAAGCTCATTTCATTAACAACAGAGAAAGACAGGCTCTTATTGAAAGCAGCTGATTTAAAACATTTTACCTAAGGGCTTTAATGCAGGGTACTTACTGTGTTTAAGCCACTACACGCTGGTTTAGGTGAATTGACATTTACCCCAAATCTGTATGTAGCTTAATATAATACTTAACAAATACTGAGGTAAAGGGATGGTGCTGCTACACCATCGTACTTTGTTGTAGAACCATTCTTCCTTATTTTGATTTACCACTCACTGCAGTACGGTTGGATGTGGTCACATGTTGTGTGTTAAACTTGTGACTACACTACGGTGATGTAGTATTGAACAGCAGTACAAGTGCTTTACTGCACAGTGTGTTTTTTTTGTCTTCCATGAATAATCAGATCAGATCTTGGCTGTTTGCTTCAGGAATTGTCCAGGTGCTGGAGTGCTCTGGTTCCACCTCTTTCCTCCTGTCATAAAACATGTAGAAAAGTTACGGTGCGTTCTCAAGAACAGCTCATCCAAAAACCTTCAATACATCCTCCACATCATTTAGTCGATACAAGTTTGAAGTCGGTTGGATGAGCGGTTGTTGAGAAAATAAAAAAACAGATAAAAAAATAAGTTTCCCCACATGTGTAGTTTGAGTCCTTATTATTTGTCAGGACTGAAATCATTTGAAACAAACAGCGGCTGATTGACATCTCTCACAATAACTGAAAACATCTGTGTGAGTGAATAGTGATTTTAAAATAGTTTGACCAATGTGATTTACACAGTTCTCAGCACATTAACAAAGAAAAGTTTGACCTAAAAACAACAAATAAATAGTAATAAATGCATAAATATTTCTTAGAATTAATACTCTCATTTGAAAAAACGTATAATGTATTTTATTGGAATTATTATTCAGCACGTAATATATACTCTGTGGTCAGTTCCCTCTGAAACGATGTCCCCTGTTTTAACTCGGATAGATAGATTTGATTGTTGACCATGTGCCATATATCTGAAGTTCTTAAAAGTGGATGAAAACTTTTTGCTGTCAAAACAACACTTCACCTCTGTTCACTCCATCTGTGAATAGATTTTTAGATGTTGTTACAGTGAAACTGTAAAAAGAATTTATGAATCACTAACAGTGACGGAAACATGTGTAAATGTGTATCACCCATGAACCCAGTAAACATGTTAACATGCATAAATCATAACATTATTAACAGCGATGTGCTACAGATTTAATCAGCCTTACATTTATTTTATGACTTGACTTGAGGTTCTATCCTCTGTCATGTAACTGGTAGTAAAGAGTTTGGCAGGTTTTATTTTCATGGCTAAAGCTGCCTTTGAATAACTGACCTGTTTCTTCAGGTGAGCTTGAGCACGGCTAAATAAATAAAAATAAAATAAATAAAAAATGAAAAAGGTATCAGCTATTAAACTAAAGGTCACTCACATGAGGGCTCATCATAACCCTCAAAATCTAAGCATCTGAAATAAAGTCCAAGAATTAAAAATGATCCTGCACTTATTTGAATATACTGTGACTAAAGAGCTGGTCTTGAATTTAAATTGATAAACGTAACCAAAGAATGAAGTAGAGTGTTGTGGCCAGTGCGGATAGTGGACTGTCAGTCATTTTAGCTAGCCAGCCATCAAAGTGCAACTACAACTTTTTTGTTTGTGAATGAATGAGGCTCATGGGTAATATTCTCTGTATGATAGTTGTTAATAATTTGGGGGAGGGAATGACTGTAAAATGGGCGGATCCAGTGACCTGTAGCTCACACATGCAAATTATATCAAACTACTAGTTTTGCTTTTAGTTTCAAGAAAGGTGACATTTACTTAAGTAGACAACAGTATCCGTGTTTTCCAAAGGAGGGCACAGCTGTTGGCTATTCTTTGGTTTTGCCTGTGGCCAAGAACTAGGACTTAGTCTGACACACTAGTTTGTATTAACAAAGGTGAAAATGTTTGTCTTTATTGTACTGAACAAAAAGATAAACACAGCATTCAATATTTATAATTTAAGGGAGGTATGGGATTTCTTATTGTTTTGTATTATAATAAACTTAGAGTGCAATTGAACGATCACAACTGTCAAATAAGTAATGCAGCTGCAGTAGGGTCAGATTTTGGATTTTCACCCACTCAGTAAAGAGTATGTCCCCAATTTGCTTTGCGTTGTGCTCCGTCACAGCAGTGTCAATACTGGCTTTGTGGAACAGTCCACTCCTCCACAAGAGCTTGGCGAACTTGGATGTTTTCTGGCTGTGATGCATTGTTTCCCACATGCCAATTCAGAGCATCCAACAGAAGTTCAACGGGGGACAGGTCTGGCAAGTATGCAGGCCGAGGCAGGGCAGAGACGTCTTCTTCATCTAATAGGGCAGTTCAAATCTGTGCCACATGAGGGCCTGCATTGTCATGCTGGAATCTAAATCAGTGGCACGGGTAAATAGAATCACAAGGGTCTCATCATGGTATCACCAGGCCATGAGGTTGGCTCAGCTCGCTCTCATCATCTATTGCATCTTGTCATTTGGTCCAAGTCATAATTTGTGGGTGGACCCAGTCTAAGGATTTCCAAGATACTCTTTCAGGACAGATTGTGGCCGTTCTTTGTGTTTTTTTCCATTCAATGCCATTATCTGTACCGCTAACTCTTTAGCGTCATGGGGGAGCTGGAGCCAATCCCAGCTGACATTGGTTGAGAGGCTGGGTACAGCCTGGATAGGTCACCAGCATATCATAGGGCCTATTCTTTGTTTTCTACCACAGAGATTCAAAGACAAATGTCAATCCATTGTCAAAAACAAAAGGAAACTGAATGCTGTGTTCATAATTTTGCTCAGTGTAGATAATTTCTCATGTAGACTCATTGTTCAGTTGTCTTTGTCCTTTTAACTCTGATAAACAAGTTTCCTCTCTTTTCAGCCAACCCCTTTTCCTTGCTTTCTTCTTGCCAACCCCCCCTCCCCCATCACCCAGTTGTTTAACCATTGCAGTGTTTCTTTATATAATATAGGGCTACATTCCAAAAAGCAAATGGGAGATGGACACGTCTGAGGCAAAACTTGGTGGGTATTTCTATTTTTAGTCTTTATTTGATGACTGATTACTCATTGATTCACCACTGTAAAATACGGGCACAGTGCATTTATATGCTGGTGATATTGCCCTAATTTCTGATTCTTACAATTGTATTATATGCGATCCACTGATGGACCACTAGGGGAGCTGTTCCATCAGTGAATCAGACTTCACCCACACAATATTAACAACCCGAAGCTGTTATATGTTGATTTTAGAATATAAGATGCTTCAAATTGAACATGCTTGAATAAAGAGCACACCTATAGAAAGCATGTACCTGAATGTACTGAGGATGAAAAGCTCATCTTCTGCCCATAAGGCCAAAAAGAGCTTCATGCACCTCCTTTGCCATGAAGTATTTTTTTACCCCAGTCTACATGTTTATACAAACACGGTCATGATGTCTACAAATCTCAAGCTGGCAAGAGAGGGAAACTGAAGAAGAGACGCTGTTGTCTCTGTAGTATTAATGTGGTTGTACTTGGGCAGTTGCCAGACGTTAGAGAACCTGCTTAAACGGATCATTGTGATCATCTAAATTTGGCTTTTTATTGATTATTAAATGTTAAGATGAGGTTAAAGTTTATACTGGAGGACAGAGGTGACCTGAACGGTAATTTTCCATTTATACAGACAAGTTGGACGGTCTGGGGAGTAGCGGGAAGAGGAAACGTGAAGGTGAACACACGTCAGACCTGGAAGACTATCTTCAGCTGCCGGACGACTATGCCACACGCATGTCGCAACCGGGAAAGAAACGGGTAACTCGACGTGTTGTCCTACGAAGCTGTAGCCTTGTCTTGGAATGTTTTGGACGTTTGTCAGGCAACACATAACACGACACCCTGCTTGTTCTCCTCTTTGTTAAGGTTCGATGGGCTGATCTTGAAGAGCAGAAGGAAGCAGATCGAAAGCGCGCTATTGGCTTTGTGGTGGGTCAAACGGACTGGGAGAGAATAACGGATGGGAGCGGCCAGCTGGCACAAAGAGCTCTCAACCGTACCAAATATTTCTAAGAAGATAATCTTATCCCCTTTTTTTTCCTCTATTGAAAGGTAGGTTTGTTTCTCTTTTGTAAAATATTAGGATCACTGTAATGTTACTGTAAAAAGTAAAAGATTGTGTACCAGTAGTACAATTTGAAATATTTTCATATTACCGTATTTGAAAAGATGTAGGAGGACATGTTTGAGACCTTTTCTTATGACACGCCCTCTGTTAAGAATATAAGATGATCAGTTTAAACAGTGACTTTAAAAGTGAGTGCGAAGTTTTAGTTCAGATCCATATGATTAACCGCATTTTGCAAAATACTTGGTTAATCGCCACTTGTGATTGTTCAGCAAGCCATTTCCTCTAAAGTCATATCTTAATATTTCCAAGCTTAAATGAAGAAAATGGTAAATAAAATGCAAATGACTTGACAAAGTTTGAATTGGAGCATTGATTTTTACTAACGTAACACTTTCTGTATGTGCCAGTCTTTTACACTGTGGGGTTAATAGATTTTGTCAGAATATACCTGAATCTACAAGAAGTTAATTGATAGAGGAAAATGTCTAAAATCATCACAGAAAGTAGATTCATTTCATTTTATTGATACCTCACACAAATCTTCCAAATCATCAATGATTTCTTTTTCTTTCTGCAGGTGCTCAGAATGTGAAATGTGTCGCTGATGCTCACATGGGTGAAACACGAGACTCATCGAGGTCATCTGTAGATATCAGATTCTTAGTTATTCATGGAGAAGGCTACAGTTTCCTGCTTATTTTTAAAAGACACTCTTGACTATTCAAAAATGAACTTGTAGTTAATGATTCTGTGCTACTTCTGGTCATCCTGTATCAATTCATGTTCTTTGCTGTTTTATACTGGTCATGTTTTATTTACTGTATTGTCGCACTGGTTCCTGGTCCGTGCATACTTGGAAAAAAGACAATAAACATTTCAAAAAATCAATAACTTGGAGGGTTTTCCTGGAGGATGTCCTGTGTGCTTTGTCAACAATAAGAACTACAAGGGTTTATTCTAATAACAGTAACGGAACAGATTATTAGGGCTTAAACCTAAAGTCTATCAATCTGTTGTCACTTTGTGTTTTTATATGCTGTAATCAGGTTTACTCACTGTGAATACGATAATAAATGGCAACATGACGCACTTCAGTTGTTGTATGTGCATGTAAAATATCCAGTCATGCCTTATTTTGACTTTAAAAATTCACGGGACAATTTCTCACGAGATACAATTACACAAATTGCTGTGTGAACATGCTGATTGTTGCATCCCTACAGTTTTACACCTCTGTAGGTTGCCTGCTGGAACCATAATGGTGTTTTTTGCAATTTTCTCTGTGTCTACCTTAAATTTCAGGAGTAGTAGTTTTCAGTAGATGATAAACTATACAGAATGGCAAATTCATCTAAGAAGACTAAAAACTGAATTCAATTTGTGCTTGTTGCAGTATTTTCTATGGCTCAGATTGTTGTTTGAATGGATTTGCGTGTGTCAGAATTCAGTGTGTGTTATAAAAATACATGATATCAGAACGACCTCACTCCTTTGTTTAAAAGTATAATGTTAAAATACATTTGGGAATTATATTACATTTAAAAAGTCCAGATGCTGCATATTCCCACAACGAATGGTCGTTCTGGATACATGGTGTTTTAAGTTTGCCAAATATGTTTAAGTTTACCAAATCTATGTCTTGGAAAACGATTTGGGGATTAAGTGGTTAAAGCTTGGTTTCTTCAATGGCAAGTCAGAGCTAATTTTAGCAAACTGTTTTCATTTTTTAGGTCCATTTTTAAATTTTGAGATTTTAAAAGTTTGGAATATAAAAAATGTTGCACCATATTGAGCTGGTCATTCATCTTTTTGGCCATAATTAACCACAATAATAATATGAGAAAGCACAGTGCCAATTATTTCATTTTGTTTTCATTTACAAGAATGGAAAAACTGCCTCACAATTTAGTTCCATATTTAATTAAGCTTAAAAATGCCCAATGCATCTATTCATTATTTACAAGTTTAACAGATCTGAATACTTATGACTGATAAATATTATATATTGAGTGGATCATTATGGTGATCAAACACATTTTCTCATTTTATATTTGATTGTCTTGCTGCTGTTAAGTGTTTTTGAGGAACTGTTCAATACAAATGCCTTTGAGCACATAACACATACACATTAAGTATCTTAAGATTAAAAATCTTAATACATAATACAAGTGTCAATATTTTCTTCAATAAATTTTACATCCACAAAGTACTTGAGAATCCAGAATTTCCTACATATCAGAAATTTTGATATGGAGAAACATTGAAGACAAAGCAAGGATCCGTTACCAGTGAAAACATGGTGCTGATGATGAAGACGATGGTTGATATTCTATGGTCCGCCAACCATGAGATGTTTGGGACGTGGATGAATGGAGTCGTGTGGTGAGTAGAGAAAAGAGAAAAAACATTTATATTCTCACAGTTCATAAGAGCTGGGTGAGATATAAATTAATGATTCATCACTTTTAGATTCATGTAACTTCCATGTTAAATACCCTGTACATACACAGAATGACAATATTGAGCTCTGCTGAATATTAAATATATTTTTTCTGATGTGGTGTGGACCTTATTCTGTTCTTATTAAAGACAAATACGTCTCAAAAACTTGCACATTGTGATGAAACCGTTTTACATCTTACAAAATATGTAGTATTGCTATACAATATGTCTGATATAGCAAAGTACATATGACGTCGAACCACCTCATGATCCAACTGCCGACCATGGATACAAGAAATGCAGCCATTGGTCTGCAACATGTATCAAACTCATAATGGGTTGGCATGTACCTACCAATAACCCGCCCCCTTTACAATATGTTCTTTTATTCAATAAAAACAAAAGCAAACTAAATAGTTTGATGATCAAAGCATGAGTCAGTCCAAGTTCTTGTTGGCTTTTATCCAGACTGATGACTTTTGAATTCAGTCGGTACATCACTGTCCAGTTTACAGATCACCTTGTAGATTGCTTTCTTCCACGACGAATCACGATCTTTGCCCATTGAAATGGAAATGTAGAATTCTCTTAGTGTGGTCTCAGCAACTTCAAGGAATCTGTCAGGGACCTGTGAATCCACAGGAGAAGATGTATTTTAAAAAATCCTCAAACCTTACACACATACTGTTCATAATCGTAGTCTGTTTTTGTATTTTGTCAAGTGTTTTTGTGATTTGCATTATGTTTTAGAAAGTTAGAATCATATCTGTCCAATTAAGGTAAGTAATAAGATTATAATTGAGGATGAACAGCCAAACAGTCAGTAGAATCAATAACATGATACATTAACTGAAGTACAGAAAACTGCCTTGACCTTACTTACCTTGCCTTACTAATACTAAAGCCTATATTAGCTGGTTACATATTTATATTTACTGTTT